GTCGGTGGCTGGCCCAGGAGGAGGGAGGGGAAGGGAAGGGAAGGAAAAGGAAGAGAAGAAACAGGGAGGAGGAGGAAGGAAAAGGGAAACAAGAAGAAAGAGGGAGGAGGAGGAGGGAGAAAAGGAAAAGAAGAAGGGAGGAGTATGAAGAAGAGAAGAGAATAAGAAAAAGGGAGGAGGAGGAGGAAGGAAAAAGGAGACAAGAAGAAAGAGGGAGAAAAGGAAAAGGAAGGGAAGAAGAAAAGGAAAAGAAAGAGGGAGAAAAGGAAAAGGAAGAGAAAAAACAGGGAGGAGGAGGAGGGAGAAAAGGAAAACGAAGACCAAAAGGGAGGAGTACAAAGAAGAAAAGGAAAACGAAGAGCAAAAGAAAAAGGGAGGAGTACGAAGAAGAAAAAGGGAGGAGGAGGAGGAGAAAGAAGAAAGTGAAAAGAAAGAGGGAGAAAAGGAAGAGAATAAGAAAAAGGGAGGAGGTAGAAGAAGAAGAAAAGAAAGAGAATAAGAAAAAGGGAGGAGGTAGGAGAAAGAAGAAAAGGAAGAGGAGGATGGGGGGAAGAAAAAGGCAGAAGCAAGGATGAGGAGAAGAAAAAAGGAAAAGGAAGACAAGGAAGACAGGAGGAAGAGGATGGGACGGGCGGCGCAGCCCCCCACGTACCTCGTAGAAGTTGTCCTCAGTCACCTCCAAGGGAGCGTTGAAGAAGTGGAGGACGTTGCTGGGGTGCTGGATCCTGTTCTTGGCCGCCTGCTCGGGGGTGGAGAAGCGGTTGTTGCGGGAACCGCTGAAGTCCTTGTAGCTACAGGATCCGTCCTCCAGCCCGTAGGACTGCCCGGGCATGATGGCCTGCTGCTTGGAGACGCTGCCGGGGCGGGCAGGGGCTCAGCGGGGCGCGCAGGGCTGCCCGCTGCCGCCCCCGGCCCGGCCGAGACCTACCAGACGTTGAGCTTCTGCCCGAACATGAAGTTGTTGTTGAGGTGGGTGATGGCCCGGTCCACAGCGTAGCCGTCCGCCATCTCCACCATGGCCGCCCCCGGCTTGCTCTTCATGAACTTCACCTGGAAGGGGCGGCGGTGGAACTGAGACACCTCGCGGAGCCCCCCGCGCCCAAACCCCACCCCGGGAAGCCCCCCCGTTTACCTTCTCCACGTTCCCGTAGAGGCAGAAGATGTTAAAGACGCGGTCGCAGTTCATCTTGGACTGATCCAAGCCGTAGACCATGAGGACAGGGCTGTCGG